TTTTATTTAATTCTCTATTCAAAAAAGCAGAAGCCCCAGAGTGGATTTAACAATTTTCGTTCACCTCCTCCATCTCCAGCTAGTCTCCCACCCCTAATCTTAATTCATCTGACGTCATGCCTGAATGGCCTTTTTAACTGGTCACATGAGTAGTGATGTAAACCTGCACTGTTTTCCTGCCGTAGCTTAATTTCATAGAGACGTGGATCATACGTGATAGTGCTAATGTCGTCACACGGGTGACTGTTTTTCATGCTTTTATTACTGCAGTTTTTGTTTTATGAATCTTTTGATTGGTTCTGTTTGTGTTACAGCAAGGGGCAAGCAACGCTGAGAAATTTGATTATGTGAGTACTATTGGGAAGATTTATTGAATATTTAAATATTGACTGAAGGAGAAGTTTCCAAACTGAAGTTATAAAAAAAATGTCAGGCTACATTATTCTTGGAATTATACCTTTTTCTTCAACACTTACACTTTAAAATTGTTTTTATTCTCAAAAATTTGATTCTAATTGTGAATATTTCTACTTTATTTTCAATTTTATTCTTGAAATTTTAGCTTCATACTCAAAATTTCATTGACATTGGTCAAATTTGAATTGTATTTTTATATATTGTAGTTTTATACGACATTATTCATTAAACATTTTTATTTAATTAACTTTTCTGTTGTCTTTAGTCTTGACATAGTTTTTACTTTATTCATAACGTTTTTACTTTGTAGTCTCAAAAGTTTGGTTTAAATCTTAATATTTAATATTCTTAATATTTAGACTATTTAAAATTACAATTATTATTATTTTTTTGAATACTTTGAATATCCCTTTCTCTTTAAAATGTAATCTTTAAACTGTAAAGGATGATTTTATTGTGAAAGTTTTACTTTTTTAAGTATTATTTTAGTTGTAGAATTTCAGTATTAGATTCCAAATTGCAATATTTTGGTTAAAATTTAGATTTAAGTTCATGATTTTGTACTAAAATTATAAGTTTATTTTGGATATTTAAATTTTATTGTTGTAATTTCATGTATAACTGATGAAGTTACAACAATGATTTCCTACCCAAATTTGTATATTTGTTTTCTTAAATCGAGTAAGTGTTAATGCCAGAAATTGTGACTTATTTGTAGAAGTTTCAGTTTTATTCTTTCAATTTTAACTTTACTTTTTACAAAAATGTCAGCTGCTCTGCATTATCATTATTATTTATTTATTTATATGTTTGCTCAGTGTCCTTGAGCCTTCTTCGTAGTCTTGTGTTTGTGTTGTGTGTTTACTCTGAATCTGCTCTTCTGCTCTGCAGGTCATGAACTTCATGAACAAGCTGGCAGGAAACGAGTATGTGGGCTTCAGCAATGCCACGTGAGTGCAGCCGAGTTAGAAATAAAACAGATTTTCCGTGTTTAGATGAAATGAAGCACTTTAATGTCTTTGACAGATTTCTTGTTTACAAAACAGTTCTGCATCTCTGAGGTGAATCTCAGGTCTCGCAGCAACTTCCTGGTTCAGTTTGAGTTCATGTAACAGGATCTGAGTCGCATCATGAAATAAACCTCTCTCTTCTCTCTGTGTGGCTCAGTTTCCAGTCAGAGCGTGAGTCTGGAGACAGAAACTTCGCCATTGGCTACTACCTGAAGGAGAAGAAGGTGAGATTAGATGCTGCTGACAACTGAGCCGGGATCTTTTTGTTTAAAAGGAAGTTTTTCTTCCTTTTGTGAACACACTATATTTGTGATTTCATTCTTAGCTTTTGTATTTTGAATTTTATTTTCGGTATTTCTGCATAAATATTAGGATTTCTGTTCCAGTAATTAATCAGTTTATCACATTATCACCTGGTTTATCCTTTGATGTCTCTTGGTTTTCCCCTTTTCTGTTTGAAGAAAAGCAGCAGGTGTGTTACGAGTTTCCATTTTAAAGTGTTTTTATCTTTAACAGTGTTTTCCAGAGGGGACGGACATGACGTCCATCCTGGACTTCTACTTCCAGGTGAGTAGAGCTCATCCCGATGCAGTGGAATGACTAATGCGACAGGATTTTTGTTTGTCATTGTGATCCAATCATTCACGAATCTTTGTTTTTCAATCAGTTGTGCTCCATCGAGGTGACCTGTGAGAGTGCCAGCGTTATGGCGGCAACTCTGGCCAACGGCGGTTTCTGTCCAATCACGGGCGAGCGTGTGCTGAGCCCTGAGTCTGTGCGAAACACCCTGAGTCTGATGCACTCCTGCGGCATGTATGACTTCTCGGGACAGTTCGCTTTTCACGTCAGTATCTCCTCGTCCTGATCTCATGTTCAACCTGCTACCATCTCCCTGTTTTCCCGTTTTGCACCAGAACTTTAAAAATCTGCACATTCTGTCCTTATCTTGTCATTAAAAAGGCTATTTAATTTTACTTACATTAACTTTACAATTTTCCCCAAACTGCA